CGCCTTCTCATCATACTCATTTAGGAATTAGGTTCATTAGATTGAATATATTAACATCTTTCAAGATTCATTATCTTTATTCCTCTCGTGTCGGTACGTGACACTCCGCTCCTCATGTACTATCCTGGTGTCGGAACGTGACACTCTGATCCTCATTCTATCCTGGTACCAGAACGTGGCACCCGATCCATATACTATCCTGGTGTAGGAACGTGACACTCCGATCCTCATATACTATCCTGGTACCGGAACGTGGCACCCGATCCATATACTATCCTGGTGTCGGAACGTGACACTCCGATCCTCATATACTATCCTGGTACCGGAACGTGGCACCCGATCCACATACTATCCTGGTGTCGGAACGTGACACTCTGATCCTCATATACTATCCTTGTACTGGAACGTGGCACCCGATCCATATACTATCCTGGTGTCGGAACGTGACACTCTGATCCTCATATATTATCTTGGTACCGGAACGTGGCACCCGATCCATATACTATCCTGTTGTCGGAACGTGACACTCTGATTCTCATATACTATCCTGGTACCAGAACGTGGCACCCGATCCCCTAATTTCACTACTTTCGTTCATCAAGCCTTCTTTTATACCAAGGCACCATCATTAACAAAGTCGATTAGGGTTTCTTTTTCAAGATTTAGGATTCAATAGCTTTATCATGCTTATTTTTTCACAATTATATAATCACATTCATGCAAGCATACAATTAAGCATATAGAAGGGTTTACAACACTACCCAATACATATCATTCGCTATTAAGATTTTACTACGAGTAGCATAAAAACCATAACCTACCTCCACCGAAGATTAGTGATCAAGCAAGCAAATTTCCCAAAGCTTTGTGTTTTCCTCTTCTCGTTCGATCCTCTCTCTCTCTCTCTTTGTTCTTTCTATTTTCTTTATTCAATCCCTCTTTCTTTTACCCTAATTAGCATATAATTAAGAATAAAAGATGGCAATTTTAACCCACTAATTTACTCAAGGTTACCTCTTTTAACCCCCAAGTAATTAGACTTATTAACATTAACCCACTAACTTTATAATTAAAGCAGGAATAGTCAAAAACGTCCCTTAAGACATTAAAGAAATCCGACTCGGCCTGGGATTACGCAGCCTGTGACGGCCCGTCGTGCCTGTGACGGTCCGTCCTCCTGCTCCGTCACAGAGTTCAGAGACTCAATTCCCTTAAAGAGTCTGTGACGATCCGTAACGCCTGTGACGGTCCGTCCTGCCATTCCGTTATGAAGTTCAGAGAGTCGATTTCAGTACCCATTTTTCAGAATTTCTAAGTGTTTTGAAACGAGACCCCCTCGACGATCCGTCGTGCCCATGACGGTCCGTCGTGGGATCCGTCGTCTCAACCAGTTTTCCAGAAATAACATCTGTTGCTCAAAACGACTAAACAGGTCGTTACAATTCTCTTTGAAGCGGCTTCCACTTCACACTCACATAGGTGATTTCTAACTGTGTCATCTTGTAGATATACTATTTGGTCAAATCTACCAAACTTAGCAAATTATTAAAAACTTTAAGCTTTATTACCTCATTAACAAGCCTTAAAGTCTTAACGTTGTTCATGAACATTGTCTTCATCATGAGAATTGATTGAGTTAATTGACAATGTTAAACCGTCAGCGATAACTTTGTCTTTCTCCTTGAATCTAGATCTTGGGATCTCCTGTCTTCTAGATAGAGTTACCGTCATGCTTGCTTGTCTTAAGCCGTAAACCCATTCCCTTAGATGATCTTTCAACTTACTCTCTCACTAGGCCTTTCGATAGTGGATCTGACACATTATCGCTTGACTTTACATAGTCAATTGTGATAATTCCACTAGAGAGCAGTTGTCTTATGGTGTTATGTCTCCGTCGTATATGACGAGACTTCCCGTTGTACATAACACTCCCTGCCCTACCCATTGTTGCTTGACTATAGCAATCTATGCAAATAGGTCCAACAGGTTTGGGCCAGAATGGAATATCGTCTAGGAAATTTCGGAGCCATTCAGCTTCTTCACCAGCCTTATCCAAAGCAATGAATTCAGATTCCATTGTGGAGCGAACAATACATGTCTTTTGGACAATTTCCAAGAGACTGCTCCTCCACCAAGTATGAACACATAACCACTCGTGGATTTTACATTATTTGATCCAGTGATCTAATTTGCATCACTATATCCTTCAACCACAGCAGGATATTTATTATAATGCAAAGCATAATATTATGTATATTTTAGATAACCCAACACACGTTTCATTTCCGTCCAGTGAGTTTGATTCGGATTACAAGTGAACCGAGTCAGTTTACTAATAGCACATTCTATATCTGGTCGTGTACAATTCATAATATACATCAAACATCGCCAACACTCTGGCATATTCCAATTGAGAGTCACTTTGACCTTCATTCTTTTTAAATGTACAGTTTAAATCAATTAGAGTTTTGACAACATATAAATTCAAGTACTTGAACTTATCTAATACTTTTTCAATATAATGAGATTGAGATAATGCTAGTCCCTGGGGAGTTTTGATAATCCTGACTCCTAAGATCAAATCAGCAACTCCTAAGTCCTTCATATCAAACTTGCTGGACATCATGCGCTTAGTAACATTTATATCGTCAATGTTTTTACTCATTATTAACATGTCATCAACAAAAAAAACAATGACTTCATGATTTATAACATTTTTAATGTAAACACATTTATCACATTCGTTAATCTTGAATCCATTTGCCAACATTGTTTGGCCAAATTTAACATGTCATTGTTTGGGTGCTTGCTTGAGTCCATAAAGTGACTTCACAAGTTTGTATACTTTCTTTTCTTTACAAGGAAGTATAAACCCTTCAGGTTGTGCCATGTAAATTTTTTCCTCCAACTCTCCATTTAAGAAGGTTGTTTTTACATCAATTTGGTGGATTTTAAGATCATGCACTGCTGCTAGTGCTATTAATATCCTAATTGATGTTATCCTTGTTACTGGAGAGTATGTGTCAAAGTAGTCCAGACCTTCCTTTTGTCTGTACCCTTTGACTACCAGTCTAGCCTTATATTTTTCAATAGTCCCATCAGGTTTCATTTTCCTTTTAAAGATCCACTTTGATCCTAAAGGTTTATTTCCTAAAGGAAGATCAGTCAATTTCCAAGTGTGATTGCTTAAAATTGATTCAATCTCACTATTGACTGCTTCTTTCCAATAAGTTGATCAGACGAAGACATAACTGCTTTAAATATTTGAGGCTCATTTTCAAGCAATAGCGCTACAAAATCTGGTCCGAAAGAAGCAGATTTTCGTTGGTGAGTACTAGGCCTAGGTTCCTCACTAGTTAGAATATTTTCCACTGATTCTTCTTGTGGCCGTTTAGGTCTTTCACTTGTTGACTCACTTTCAGTTTTATATGGATAAATATTTTCAAAAAACTCTGCATTATCTGATTCAATTATCGTATTAACATGAATCTCAGGATTATCAGATTTGTAAATCAAAAACCGATAGGTTTTACTATTCACATCATACCCAATAAGGACACAATCTACTGTTTTAAGTCCAATTTTAATCATTTTCGGTAAAAAAAACCTCTACCTTGGCTAAATACCCCCACACTTTGAAATATTTCAAGTTGGGTTTCCTTCCTTTTCACAACTCATATGAAATTGATTGTGTTTTTCGATAGAGTACTCTATTTAGTATTTTATTAGCTGTAAGGATGGCTTCCCCCCAAAGGTTTCACGATGAACCAGAATTGATCATTAATGCATTCATCATTTCCTTTAATGTTTTGTTCTTCCGTTCTGCCAAACATTTGACTGTGGTGTATAAGGTGCAGTATGCAAAAGGAGATTCATATTCTCCACCCATATCACTCTGAATCATTTTTATCTTTAGATTCAATTTGTTCTCCACTTCATTTTTGTATTGCTTAAATGCATCAATTGCTTCATCCTTACTATTAAGCAAACGAGTGCAGTCATCAATAAAAGTTATAAAATACTTTTTCCCACCACGAGATGGTGTTGACTTCATATCGCATATATCTGTATGAATTAAGTCTAAAGTTCACAAATTTTGCATTTCGATTTATCGCATTTAAAATCAGGCAATACTTCTATATTAACCAATTTTTGCAAGGCTTTGTAATTTACATGTTATAAATGGACATGCCATAAATCATTTAACTCTACAAAGTAAACAGAACCAAAAATTTTATTAATATTGTCAACAACCATTACGTTCAGTTTGAAAAGACCCTTATTGAGGTAGCCCTTTCCTATGAACATTTCATTCTTACTTATTAAAACTTTACCACTAACTAGGATACACTTAAACCCGTTCTTAACGAGTAGTGCAGCACAAACTAAATTCTTTCTAATAGTTGGGACATGCAGAACATCATTGAAAGTCAACACCTTCTCGGATGTCATTTTAAACATCACTTTCCCAGTTCCTGCAATTCTTGATGTTGCTGTGTTTCCCATGAACAAATCTTCATCGTACTCAGCAGGAGTGTACATTGCAAAAGCTTCTTTGGCAGAGCAAATATGTCTAGTGGCACCTGAGTCGAGAAACCACTACATGGGATTTCCAACTAAATTACACTCCGAGATCATTGCACACAAGTCATCTGCATCTTCCATCTTCTCCATGATGTTTGCTTAATTTTTTCCTTTGCCTTTGTCTTTGTCCTTTCTTGGAGCACGACAATCAGAAGACCTATGACCAGTCTTGCCACAATTGTAACAGTTGCCTTTGAATTTCTTCTTGGCCTGTTCTGACTTCTGCCCATTGGACTTCTTTCTCTTTTTGTCTTTGGTAGGAGCTTTTTCAACAATATTAACTCCAATGATTGTTGAACTCTTACGTGACTTCTTTTCGGCGTTTTTGTTATCTTCCTCAATCTTGAACCGAATGACAAGATTTTCAAGCTTCATTTCTTTACGCTTGTGCTTTAGATAATTCTTGAAATCGTTACACGGAGGAGGCAACTTCTCGATCATTGCATCCACTTGAAAATCTTCATTTACTACCATATCTTCAGCAATCAGATTATGGGGAATAAGTTGAAGTTCCTGCACTTGTGATCCAACAGTTTTACTATCTACCATTATATACTCTAAAAACATTGCAACCACAAACTTTTTCAAACATGCATCTTCTATCTTATTTTTCTTCTCAAGTTCATCCCACAACTCTATTGAAGTTGTTATTGCACTATAGAAATTACATAAGTCATCCTTCAAAGCACTCAAAATGTAGCCTTTACATAGGAAGTCTGTCTGTTTCCATTCTTCAATAATTATGATTTTTTCTCTATCTGCATATCATCAGCAAGCACTGGAGTAACTTCACTTGTAAATTTTTGCATATCAAGAGTGATAAGCAAGAAAAATACTCGTTACTGCTATCCTTTGAAATTTACACCTATAAGTTTACCTGGTTTCTCTGTTTGTGGTACAAAAGTTCGGGTTGATGCAGCAACAGCCACTGTAACACCATTGTTTTCCATTTCTGATAAACGAAATTTGATACAGTCTTAGTAAGCAATAAATTATAATTGTAGACTTAAAAGAGTATAAAATCACAACGATTTTTGTCTCCACCAGAAACACAATTTTTTTTAAAAAAAATATTTTCCTTAAGATTGTTGTCAATCTGTGTTATAAAACAAGAAAAAACTAATTCTAATAAATTTTTCAAAAACACAAAGTAGACTGAAATTTATAGAACCAGTAATAGAGATGAATAGAAATTTAATTCACAAAAGCTAAAATTTGTAAAAACGTACAAGAATCTGAAAACCTTTTAAATAAAAAAATCAAGTCCACTGAACTCATAGTGTCCCCTTAAGGAAATCATTCCCTTCTAATATCCGAGATTTGATTTGGAATATAACCTCCCAGGGTAAAATGATCTTAATCAGCAGAGTGTAGATACCAAAAGCTCTACTGTCAGCGAACCAATCCACAACAGGAAAGTACACGAAGAAAAATGTGTGCAGAAGAAGAAGAAGAAGATCAGAAGATTCCTAAGAAAATATTCTGAACAATGAGCTGTAATTATAGGAAAGAAGAACAAGTTTCGAAAGGTTGCAACCCTTCAGAATTCACAGGACCATTAATGAAAGTTTGCAACCTTTCAAATGGTACTAACTATTCCTGAAAGTTGCAACCTTTCAGAACAATCATGGTGGGAAATTTAAATAAAATGGGAAAGTTCAAATAAAATGGGTCGCAACGCGGATCTGAGTCGGGTTGGGTTAGTCAACTAAAAAGTTGAAACATTTTGGTAAATTTTCAACTTCGGTTATCAACTAATTAATTGAAAATATTTTTGGCCATTTAATTAATTAAATAAATAAATAATTAAAACAAATTTTAACCAAAAAATAATCTCTCGATCGATCCAAAGACGAAGACGAAGCCGAGACGACGACGACGGCGCGAGGAGGGTCCCTCTTTCCAATCCTTTTTAACAATTAATAGGAGTGTTTCTGTATTTAAACACTCCTATTTTTCTTTCCACCGCCGATGAGGGACAAATGCCTTTTCATTAAAGCATAAGAGGACTTTTCAAGTTCTAAACTCTTCATGTTCTCAACTTTTCAAATTCCTTTCTTTCCCTCTATTTTCCATCAATTTTTTCTACATACCCAACATCTTGAAAATTCTATAAATATCTTGGATGTCCATAAGGAGATCAAGATGTGGGATCCTATGTTCAAGAGATATGCCTCTAACCCCCTCAAATCATGGAGAAATCCTAAGTGACAGAATCAAGGGAGGGAGAAATCTTGCAATGATCGAGAAGCTCATTTTTAATTTTTTTGGGTAAAATTACCCTTTTACCCATCTTGATCGTTGCCCTGAGTCATTTCTGATCGATTTTTGGGGTTGATTTTGAAAATCTTATGAATATCATATTTTTTGAAAGTTTTGAGTTTTGGAGGTTCAAAGTGGTTTTTGGTCTCAATCGGTGTTTCGGGTCTCGAAAATAAAACTTCATCTATTTGCGAAAAGTGTAAATTGATCTAGAAGAGTTGTCGGTTTAAGATTCTGAGTAGTTTAGTGGATTTGAGGTCCCATGTTGAAACTTTATGAAAATTTGGCTTTTGAGTTGACTTTAGTCGAAATTTGGAGTTCGAATACTTGAAAGTTCCATTGGATTTGGGGCATGATTTTAGGCGTAGGAAAGTCTTTGTTGAATTTTCAGAGGTTTCGAGCTCGATTTGGTCTTTTTAATTGTTATGTTAGTATATTCAACTTTCACGCATTTGGGTCAAGAAGAACTTGGATTCGTATTTCGATGATTCCATTGAGTTTGGAAAGTAGAGTAGCTTGGTAACATATTTGGTTTGTGTATACAGGTCCCGAATGGATCCCGAAGATCCATTTTGAGACTTAGGTGTTGGCGAATTTTGTGATATGTGTATCTAGTGTGAATCCTACGTGTTCACTAAGATTGGGACCGCGTTCATGGCGGTAGAATTTTGGGACCCCCGTGTTCGTGAAGGCTCGACCACATTCATGGGAGGTCAAAGTGTTGACCTCAATGTGCACGTGGAGTCTTGCCACGTTCTCGGAGAGTTGGAGCAGCTCCTCTTCGCAATGGAGGGAAGGGACATGTTTGCGGGCTTAAATGAGTTGTCGATCTGCGTTCATAGATGAGCCCCGACACTAAGACTTTCCATAATTGGGGTTTCAAACCCATTTTTCAATTCTTAAACTTTGAGAACTCGGCTTTGGCCATTTTAAAGGGGATTTTTGAGTTTTATCGATTGAGCATGGTTGTTTTAACCGCTAGACCTCTAAAGCCATTACTGTGTCCTCATAGTTTTGGGGGCCTCGAATTTTTATTTTATTTTTGAAAAAAAGTACCTATACGTATTGTTATTGACCTTGTACTTATCTTTTTAAGTTTATAATTTATTATTTTTATTTCAATTTGAACTCTCTCTCCTACAAAATCTTTTGATTTATTGTTGCTTACAAGTTAAAAAAGACCAAAATTTATGTTTGAGTGCATTCTTCAAAATCTCAAAAAGTACAACAAGCAATCATTATATTGAAGAAACGCAACACTATTTCAATAATGTTACATCAACTTATCGAATTCGTGAGCCAGATTTTATTATTCTAACTTTATTTTATATGTTTTTCTTGAAAAACTTATTATTGTGGATATTAATAGTTCATAAGTATATATATTCTTGTTTTGAACATTTTGAAGCATATGAAAATATTTTTAATTTCTTATTTAGTTGTAAAAATTTGAGATCACTAGATGATGACGATTTTAAAAAATATTGTCTTAATCTTGAGCATTCATTAACCATAATAATTATTCTGATATTAATGGTTTAGATTTATTTTTTGTGTTAAAATATTGAAAGAAATAATACAAGTAGAAGATAATGACCTAATGGAAATACTCAATCAAATAAAAATACTTGATTTTTTTCCTAATGGATATATTGCTTATTGAATGATGTCAACAATTTTTGTAACTGTTGTTTGTTGAATGATGTTTTTTTAATCTAAAAGTGATAAAATCTTATCTAAAATCAACAATGTCTCAAGAGAGAAGTAATGGATTAACTATATTATCAATTGAAAGAATTTACTGAAACATATTGATTATAAACAGTATTTAATGACTTCAATCTAAAAAAACTAGAAAAATATTTTTTTATATTAAAAGTGTTTTTGATGATTTTTCTTCTTTTTTAAAAAATAATCAAAAAATATTAGGGCCCTTTTAAAGTTTGTCTTTAGGCCTCTAATCTTGTTGAGTCGGCCATGCGATTGGCTAAGAAATTTCAACTCCCTCTTTATTGTTCTTTAATTATTGCAAGATTTTGTCACCAGAATTGTTGTTTTAGATTCAAACCTAAGGAGATTTTCATGAACTCAAGTTTTGACAAAATAGTGATTATGGATGGAATACAACTCCACTTTCAAAATGATTTTTACCGGTAGTTTTCATGTTTTGGTAACACATATTTATACTAAATTCCGTATTTGACCTTCATTTTTGGATCAAGTGTTTGGGCCAATAATATTCTACACGACCCAGTAATTTACTAATTTTATATTTTTGCCTAAGTGTGAAACAATTTGTCTAATGTGTTCCAACAAAGCAGTTAGGACAGTACGTAAAAACATAATATTTTTATGTGGAAACACCCTGCTCAAAAGGTGTAAAAACCACGACCTGTACCCTATAAGATTTAACTCCAACTTCATTAAATCAACTACGAGCATCCACAAAATATAGATTACAAACTTTGCAACCTACCTTAACTTCAAGTTATGGATTTGAACTACAACTCTTGTAATCCTAGGAACTAACTCTAATTCCTAACCTTCAACACAAACCTCCCAAGGTATGTGTTCCCAACTCTTCGAGTTATCACAACTTGAAGACAACACTCATAATTCAGTTTATAACTCACTGAACTAAGATTACATCAAGACTCATTCATAAAGAAAAACTCCTAACACATAAACTCTGTAAGGAATGAGTTCTTCGATGTGATCCTTCTATGTGTTCCTTCAGTTCGTCGGTAGCACTTGTGAAGTCAATTCTCAATTGCTCTTTTTGCTCTTTAAGTGCATAAGTATTCTAAAAGACTTCACTTCTATTTAAGCACAATTTTTCATAGAGTTATTGTTTACTTTATTGACTTGAACTCTTTTGACTTAAAGTTTTACTTCAAGTAAGGCTCCCTCTTCAATTCAAACTCCTAGCTTCTTTGGACTTCTTCTTCAAATTACATTCATTGATTTTTTCGTATTGTATTTGAACTCCAACACTTCAATTCAACAGTAACATGAAGAGTTTTTCTTTAAGTGAGACTCCTTCTTCAATTAAAACTACTTGCCTCTTTAGACTCCTTCTTCAAATCAAACTCATTGATTCTTTCTCTTCAATTCATCAGATGTTTATTTTCGTGGGGTTTCTCACGAAGTTAACATTATTCATTCCTTTATTTCTGCACTCTTGTCTTTATTCATTTTAGAAGCTTTTTAGAATTCAACAGCTCGTGACAGTGCACCTTTGGACCATGTTGACTGACGTGATTCTTCTTTCTTTGTCAATCATCAAAACTGCATAAATCCCAACAGCCAACTTGTCCCTGTTCTCCAAAATAATGATATGGGTGTCGATAGTTATGTTATCATACTGTGATTACTTGCTTGAATAGATAGTGTGATTTGAATATCATTCGAAAAGGGAGAGCTCAAGTGTCAGAGTGTTTGAGGCAAATGAACTTTTAGACCTTTGTTAAGACATGTAGAATCTTTTACTTTCTTATTGTAAGTGTTGGAAATTAATGAGAAATGGTAAAAGGGATTTATGTATGAACTCTGTATGGTAAATTGATGATGTGAACTTTCTAAACAAATTGGATTAAAATGAGAATTTTGTTGATTTGTCTGACTTGATTATGTTGTGGGCAATTGACTGAATGAGATAAATCACATGATGATATGTTTGAATTGACTG